TGTTTTTCATTATCACAAGCTAATGACACGAGTAATAAAACTAACAAAAACCAAAATGCTTTTTCATTTGTCTTTCAATCTACCAACAATCTTTCATGGTCCTCTAGCACTTCTTGACTTTGACCTTAAAATGATAAAAGAGGACTGAGAGGCTAACAGAGGAACTGGCCATCAGATGAAGTAACTGGATGCTCCTATGCTTCATGATCAATAGCCATTCCCTTACTCATTCAGTGCAGTACCCCATTATAAACAAACAGTGGTCAGTGCAATATAAATTGTATTCCTGATTAAGCCTGAAAGTCCAATGAAAAATTATGGGAAAGGCCTACACCTACTAGCAACATTAGGCAATTCAATCTTTCCAAGTCTTACTGATATCATATTATTATGGATTCTATAATAATGTGAGAGTATGATTGAAGCTTAGATGAGATAGCACATACTAAACATACTGAGGACTGAGCCCAATGGAATACTTTTTTCTCCTTTCCTTGTATTACTGATGCTTATACAAGCCAATAAGAACAGAAAATAAAAGTGAGGATAAAAGGGAAAAAAACACACACCCCAGGTTAAAAAAACAAAAATCTCAAATTCTATCCAAGGACACAAGTACACTCACACTTCTCATAGGAGTTGCCATTTAGAAAAGGCTATGAGAATACGACAATGTGACTGGGTCAATTCTGCACAAAGCTGGCATCAAGGAAATGTCTGCTACAAAAAGTGTCTATAGAGTCTATTTCTAATGTAAAACAACTTTACTTGTAGTAGAATAAAATATGCCGAAATCTTACATACCTTCAGCATTTATACTGAGTTCTGTTGAATTTTCTTCTGATGTTGCATATGGATTATTTCCAACCATCGGCACAAGACAATCGGTATAGAAGTAACCAATTTTACACATATTCAATGTAGAAATAATCAGATCTATTGCAAGCTGGCCAACATTTCCAACGGATACTGCTGGCTGAAATAATTAAAATATATATATATTCATTAAGACATCAACATTAGCAGCACTTTTAGAAGTTTAGACAGAAGACAATAATGCCAACACTAGTACTGAAAGTTTATGCTCAGCTACATCATTGCTACATACTGATTCTCTCATTAACTGCAACTGAGGTGTCAACAGGGAGCCTCCTCCACCTTTGAGACTATTGATTTAACACTTATTGAACACCTACTATGTGTCAATTATTACTCTAGGTACTGGGAATGTAGTAAAACAAATCAACAAAAATTCCTGCCTGTAGTGAGAGAGCAATTTATCTGTAAGAAAGTAAGTAGTAAAATATACAGTGTACAATAGTAATTACAAAAGTAATATGACCAAAAATTAAGTGACTGTGAATGTGTGTATATTTGTTTGGCTGCAATTTTAAAAAGGTTTGGTCAAGAAAAGAATCACTTCAGGTGACAAGAAACTATAGGCCTGAAAAGAGGTAAGGGAGAGAGCCACACAAAGACGGGGAAAGAATATTTCAGGCAGTGGGAAAGGAAGTATAGAGGCTGTGAGGTATGAACAAAAGTGCCCTGTTATTGCCTAAAGGTTGGAGTGGACTCATTTTCACACTAAACCACACACAGACACACTTATCCCCATGACTAATAGTCCAACTGCCAAATCTCTAGCTACAACCAGAAACACTTATCTGAAATCGAGAGCCTAATGGATATCTCCCCACGGTTATGTCACAGGTAACTCACACTCAGCATGTACAATATTAAACTTTTGCTCAAACTTGTCCCCATATTTTGTATTTCAGAAAAGAGCAACAATTACTAAGCCAATTACTTAAACTGGGAAACTTCTTTCCTTTCTTTTACCAAGCACATCTAATACATGACTAATTTTCATTGATTCTACTTTATATTTTCCACCTCCATATATTTTTTAAAATATATTTTTATTAATTTCAGAGAGGAGAGAGGGAGGGAGAGATGGAAACATTGATGAGAATCATCGATTGGCTGCTTCCTGCACGCCCCCTACTGGGGACTGAGCCTGCAACCCAGGCATGTGCCCTTGACCGGAATCGAACTTGGGACCTTTCAGTCTGCAGGCTGACGCTCTATTCACTGAGCCAAACCAGCTAGGGCCCCCCCTCCATATTTTTATGGGTCCTTCAGAGTGGTCTCCCACTTTTCATTGTTGTCATCTATCAACCCCCTGGTTACCTCCTGTAATTCCCTTTCCTCTTCTCTAAGATTTTGCTACTTTGGTTAGACCCTCACTTCCTTTATGATCCATCTTTTCCTCACTCCTGGATTCTTCCCAGCAGCACAGCCACATGCTCTATTATCTTTCCTTCCAACTAACTGTCCTTTGATCCCACATACGCCCCTTGCTACTACCTCATTTTTAAGGTGTCCCTCCACAGCCCAATTGCCCACAGTTGTTCACTAAAACATAAACAGGCAAAAGTAGGGTTATGATTGTGACACAAACAAATAACACAATAATTAATACATAATACAAGAATAAACTATTTTCCTACTCATGGCTGTAAACCTACTTTTGCCCACCCCTGTATGAAATGATTACCAAATATATTTAGTTTTAAGATCCACCACCACAGTTACAATTTTTTTTTCTTGTGGTGAGAACTTTTAATACTCTCTTAGCAACTTTCAAATATACAATACGGTATTGTTAAGTATAGATACCATGCAGTACGTTACATACACCCCTGCAGGACCGACTTCTAACTGAAGGTTTGTACCTTTTGACTACTTTTACCCATTTCACCCAACCACCCCTCCACTCCACTCACCGCTCCATCAGTTCTCTGCAGCTATGAGTTTGGTGGGGGTTTCTTCCTTTTTTAAATTTATCCCCGCCCCCCCCCAAGATTCTACATAGGAAGCTTTTCTTTTTCTTTTTTAAAAAATATATTTTATTGGTTTTTTTACAGAGAAGAAGGGAGAAGGACAGAGAGCCAGAAACATCGATCAGCCGCCTCCTGCACACCCCCCACTGGGGATGTGCCCGCAACCAAGGTACATGCCCTTGACCGGAATCGAACCCAGGACCCCTGAGTCCGCAGGCTGATGCTCTATCCACTGAGCCAAACCAGTTAGGGCGGAAGCTTTTCTTAATAGGTCCTTGTGTCTCTCCCTCTCTCAATAAATCCTTGGGCCTGTCTATATCTTTTAAAAACTTCGGTCCTAGCATATATTGCCTTTATTGATTTACGTGTTTCTAACGAGACGGTAAAACTCCTTGAGGACAAGTACCTGGTCTTAGTCTAATGTTTTCACACTAGAGGCCCAGTGCACAAAATCCGTGCACGGTTAGGGTCCCTAGGCCTGGCGGGAGATCAGGGCTGATTGCGGCCAGGGCCTTCCTTGGTTCCGCGCCTCCCCCTGGTGGTCAGTGCCGTCATAGAGAGCAATCCAACTCCCGGTCTCCCACTCGAACTCCCAAGGGGACACTTTGCATATTAGCCATATATAATATGTAATAAACAGAATGTTTATTGAAACAATGAACGAACACGGGCAATTGAAAGAGCTTTAAACCATGTTAGCTACTGGCAACGTTGCTTTCATTACCCTATCGGTAGGTAGTTTTTCTGGTTAATGACAAAGACCTGTTTGCCTAACGCTTTTTCTAGGATAAAATGTAAAGGGAATGTCCCGCCCAGCATATGCACAATGTCTCTGTAATATCCAAATACATTACGTTGTACAGACAAAAAAGACGACAAACTGTAGGCTTAGATACAAGGTCTGGTGATAACGCCAACAAAGGTTCAATTTGGATCAGACCTCCAGAGACAACCTCACCACATTTCCAGCGCGGGCTGAAAACCTGAAATACAAAGTCCCCCCAGATGTATACACACTTTTCAAAACCGTTCAATTCTGAAAATTAAATGTCTTTATAATCACTCAAAGTGTGTGTACACATTTTTTGGGGGGGACACCTTTTAGAAACAAGAACTCTCTTTCCCCCAGGGCCGGTGACACCCCCGAGTTGGGGTGGCGGCACTGCAAGCGCCTTCCGAAAGGCAGCCCCCCGAAGTCGGGCCGTGGGGAGGTCGGGACTCACCATCAGGAGCGTGAAACCCGCGAGGTCGCAGGCCGACTCTCCGCAGGGAACAAACATGGTCGCACTGAAGTGGGAGGACGGAGGTAAGCGCCGGCCCTGGAGGCAGGAGGGAGGCGGGAAAGCGAAATCCACGAGCTCCCGCAGTGCCTGCGAACCCGAGTCCCTAGAGCTCCGCGCGACGCACGCGCGGCGGGGCCCGGCGGGC